ATTTGCCTTGAAGTGATGGGACCAGATGCCATGATCTTAGTTTTATGAATGTTCAGCTTTAAGTCAGCTTTTTCAATACCCTCTTTCACCTTCATCAAGAGGCTCTTTAGTTCTTCTTTACTTTCTATCCTTAGAGTGGTATCATGTACATATCTGAGGTTGTTGATATTTCTCCTGAAAATCTTGATTCCAGCTTGTGATTCATCCAGCCTGGTATTTTGCATGATGTACTCTGCATAGAAGTTAAATAAGTAGGGTGACAATATACAGACATGACGTACTCCTTTCCCAATCTTGAACCAGTCTGCTGCTCCATGTCCAGTCCTAATTGTTGTTTCTTGACCTGCATATAGGTTTCTCAGGAGACAGGTAAGGTGGTCTGGTATTCCCATGTCTTAAAGAGTTTTCTATAATTTGTGGTGATCCACACAGTCGAAGGCTTTCACATAGTCAATGAAGCGGAAGTAGATGTTTTTCTGGAATTCTCTTGTTTTCTCCATGATCCAATGGATGTTAGCAATTTGATCTCTGGTTCCTCTGTCTTTTCTAAATTCAGCTTGTACGTCTGGAAGTTCTTGGTTCACATACTACTGAAGCCTAGCTTGAAGGATTTTGAGCATTACCTTGCTAGCATGTGAAATAAGCACAATTGTACAGTAGTTTGAACATTCTTTGGCACTGTCCTTCTTTGGGATTGCCATGAAAACTAACCTTTTCCAGTCCTGTGGCCCCTGCTGAGTTTTCCAAATTTGCTGACATAGTGAGTATGGCACATTAATAGCATCATCTTTTAGGACTTTAAATAGTTCAACCAGAATTCCATCACCTCCACTAGCTTTGTTTGCAGTGATGCTTCCTAAGGCCAACTTGACTTCACACTCCAGGATGCCTGGCTCTAGGTGAATGACCACACCATTGTGGCTATCCAGGTCATTAAGTCCTTTTTTGTATCCTTCTGTGATCCCCTGGAGAAGGAAATGGCAGCCCATTCCAATATTCTTGCATGGACAAGGACAGGGAAGCCTGGCATGCTGCAGTCCATGGGGTCGCAGAGTCAGACACAACTTAGTGACTGAACAACAAGAGAGATAATGAATATTAAATGCTTAGTACACAGCTTAGCAGATAATCAGCGGTCCACAGGGCTGGTAGCCACTCTTACACACTGATAACAAAGCATTCCCACCTCCTGTCATAGAAATTCCAACTACGTTCATGCTTCTGTAGGAGAGGAGAGGTTGCCCAGAGTCAAGGGACAGTCAGGCTTGTGGGTAGAAAAAAGGGCTAATGTCTTTCCATTTTTTTCATTCTGTATGTTTCCAGGATCTCCAGCTATACTTTAAGGGTATGCTCTGTCGCTCGGTTGAGTCTGATTCTTTGCAACAGCCCCCCAGTCTCTTCTGTAAATGGGATTTCCCAGGCAAGAATACTGACATGTGTTGCCATTTCCTCCTCCAGGGGATCTTCTCCACACAGGGATGAAACCTGAATACTGGAGTGGGTTGCCATGCCCTTCTCCATGGGATCTTCCCAACCCAGGGAACTCTTGTGTTCCCTGCTTGGCAGGTGTGGATTCTTTGCTACCTGGGAAGCCCACTCCTGCATTGGCAGATCAATTCTTTACCACCAAACCACCTGGGAAACCCTTCATTATTAGCTATTTGTCCTCAGGAGAAAATTATGCTTTTAAATCTTTGTGGGTGGGGAGGTTTGAAGACTATACTTAAAGCTGCTTTTCTTTGGTTTCCTTATCCATCCCCTGCCTCCAGCCCCCAGTCAGGATATTAACAAGCTTGGAAATTTTGATCAGCCATAGGAATGTTTGCAGGTCAATTCAGGATGGAATCCAAGGCTGGGACCACAATCCCTTAACCAAAATTCTGAAATTCAAAATACTCTGAGATCAAAAGCTTTCTGATAAGTCTAAGGCAAAAAAAAAAAAAACACCTCATTTGAAGGAAGACCCTGAACTGCCATGAAGGTCTTTAACATCTTTATTGGTCACACTTGGGATGATTAGTCATATGTTTTTCTAAGGAAATATCGACATGCTTGATTCTGTGGTGCAGCTCTGGACATCACTAAGGATTTTACATAATAAGCAGTGGATGCACCATATTACCTTGTTAAAATCGGAAAAATTCTAAATTCTGAAAAACATCTGGCTCCAAGGGTTTTAGATAATTTATTGTGGACCTGTCTTTCCAGACAGACTCTCAAGTCTTCCTTGTCCACAGTCCAACTGCTTCCTATCATTCATCAGTTGGGTCGTCTGTGAGGGCAGACAAACCTGGCTAAAACTCAGAAGCCTCAGGGCCCTACTGGAAACTCAACACCATGGACAGTAACACACACACACAGAGTTGATGCCAAATTTGCTAACATCTTGGACTTGGTTTTCCTACACGGAGAGAGATTGGTGCAATGCACCATGCCAGAGAGGCACAACCATTGTTTTCCAACAGTAAAGTGCAAGGTATGGGGTGGGGGTGGGAGACAGTGGATGTCGTGGTTCTGGGCAGAGGAAATAAATGTGTTTCTTATCTTTTTCTTCCAGCTGGTTCCAGGCTCTTCTCCTCTGACATTATTAAAAGCCTGGCAGGTACTTTGAATGTTTGTTTCCATCAAGTTTCCTTGCTTTTCTAATCTGCAAATATTTCTAAATGGTTTCCTTTCCTGAGTTTACTGTGTTGCTTAGATTTTCCCAGCCTCATCTTCCCAGCAACCAGGTAACTAGGTGGAGACCTTGTTAGACGTGGACAGGAAGTTCCTAGTGGAATCCTGCCAGCCCTGGCCACTCTAATAAAAGGAAGGTGAAGTAAGTCACAGGTTCCCTATGTTGTCCATGCCCAGATTATCATTAGGTCTCTGAGGAGGAAGAAAGGGGCAACAGTGAGGTGGTTCCATCACTACTAAGTACAGTCACATCCAGCCTCAAAGAAAACAATGCCTTAGCTGGCGAGTACCGAGTCACAGTGTGTTAGAGCTGCAAGGGAGTTCATGCTGGAGGCAGCAGAAGCGGAATGGTTGCTTTTGTCTAGTCAGCAATTATCTATTAATTGCCTAATTATGTGATAATTAATAATTATTATTTATAATTAATAATTACACAATTAACATGGGACTTCCCTGGTGGCTCAGACGGTGAAGAATCTGCCTGCAATGCAGGAGACCCAGGTTCGATCCCTGGGTTGGGAAGATCCCCCGGAGAAGGGAATGGCAACCCACTCCAGTATTCTTGCCTGGAGAATTCTGTGAACAGAGGCTATAGTCCATGGGGTTGCAAAGAGCCGGACATGACTGAGAGATTAACACTATGTCAGGCACAGTTTAGTTACCAGGGATGAAAAATACAGTCCCACCTTCCTCTCCAAAATCAGAGTCTGGTAGGAGAGAGAGACAAGTAAGATTTAGAAGTACAATGTGCTGAGTGCTCTAGGATGGAAACATGGAGGAACTTACAGAAAACCAGAGGAGGGGAATCCAACCTAGGCTGAGGAGTCTGGGCAAAGATGCCCAAGGAGGAAGCACCTGAGCTGAGATTTTAGGAATGTGGGTGGGTGCACAGGTGGGTGCAGCGAAGGATGTCGAGGAAGCAGAACAGTGCCAACAAAGGTGGGGCGCTATTCGAGAACTGACTCATCACCTCTTTGTATATGTTTGTATTTGGCCTTATTCCACAGCTAACATCAGCTTACCTCTGATGACTAAGGCCATGTCTTGTGTCTCCATGTATCCCCAGAACCTATTCCATTCCCTATATACAATAAGCGCTCCATCAGTGGTTTTCAGTGATGATGGCTTTAAGGCCACACACATCGGAACTGTAGTCAGGCAGATGCTGTCACAGTAGAAATTAGAACATGCAGTAGAAACTCAGAAACCTGCACTCTCTGCCTCCAACCCTTGATACGTTGTCCTGAGCAGGAAATTTGACCTGAAGGCTCCAGCAAACCGCAGAAATTGAAATTGCTCCCAACTTCCTGGGGCTGCAAGTTCCTCAGGAATACGTGTGGCCACACCCTTGTTCTCTAGAAATTTAGCTTTGAGCTCCAGTACCTTATTAATCAGTCCGTCGACACGGAGAGAATTCCATGGTCTCTCTGAGCTGCTATGTCTTTTCTCCCCACAGATATCAAGCTTATTCCTGGATTACCTATCTCAGAGGCATTTATCAGGCTAAAAGAAGGGTAGCTGGATTCACAGCGAGCCCTTTGAAGACACAAAACATCATTCACTCATGTTATAAGTGATTGTTCTACTCAGAAGAAATTAGAAAGCCCAGATTCCCCCGCTGTCACCAGTTGTTGGCTGTAGCTAGTTCTTCTCTCTCTGGACCTCATTTTTTTCCCTGCGGTAGATTCTACAGATGACCTTTGCAGATCTCACATTGTTCCATGGTTTTCTTTTTCTTTTATTCTTTTTCAGTGCCTATAAACTAAAAGCCTTATCCAGCCTTTGCAAACTGTGTTCTGGGACAGCTGGGTGTTAATCCTGAGTTAATCATGTCATAACTCACGTCCGTTGGTACCAGAGCTCTATAGCATGGGCTGGATGAATTGCAGCAGGGACAATCTAGTTGTCCCTGGCAAACTGCAGTGGCCACAGTCCAGAAAGTTCCTTTTTGGCTGGAGGTTTGAGGACTGGGGAGTGGTCATTCAGCTGGCAGAGAGATTCAAGTTACAAGCCCAGGAGAAGTGTTCCTCTAGATGGAAGTCTCATTTAACTGCAGAAAATGGTGTCTATAACATTGGGGCAATCCCCTGCAGCTTAACGGAAACCTTGGCATTGAAAAGAATTAACTGTCTTACAGGTTGCTGTAGTCTCTCTCTCTCTCTCTCAATCTCTCTCGTCTTCTTTTTTGCCCACTCTTTTTCTTGCCTCATCATTCATTCACTTTCTCCCCTCGCAGTTCCCTGACCATCTTGGGGCTCAGCTCTCCTTCTTCATTTCCCCCTTCCTCCCCAAGCTGTCTCCTTTGCCCCCTCCTTCGCTCCTAACCTTCTGTTTTCCACTCTCTGCATCCACCCTGCTGGTTTCCTCTTTGCCTTCCTTTTTTTCAGTGAGAATCACTAGGGCTTTAGTCCACCCAGCTTTAAGGAGAACACAACCCTTTAGAAATGTGACCTCATTTACTATAAATCTCCCACTGTGCAGGCCAGGGGAGAGGTCACCCCCCCAGCCCCCCATTATCCCTGCTGGATGTGATGAATTTGGGAGAGGAGATGAGTCTTCAAAGGGCACCCAACATACCAGTCATACAATTCAGTAAATATCTGTTTTTATATAAGTTTTAAAATAATTTTACTGTAAAGCATGTTCACTGCAGAGAATTTGAAAACTATAGAAGAGGAAAAAGAGGAACATTTAAATGAACCATGGTTGCCTCCACCCAGAAACAACACTTAATAGCTCTTTGCTTTAATTCCTCCTAGGATTTTTCTAGGCTTTTTTTTTTTGGACACTTATGGTTGTATTGTATGTATGACTATGTAACCTACTTTCCCCACTTCATATTATAATAGAAGCATTTCCCTCGTGGTATTGTAAACTCTTTAAAAACATTATTTAAATTTGCTTACCTTGTGTCCTGTTTTCTTAAACATTTATATGTGTTCCAAATTTTCTATAACAATAATCAATACTGTAATAGCCAGTTTTTTAATTTGTTTTGGTTTTTGTTTGTTTTGGCCCTGCCACATTGCATTTGGGATCGTAATTCCTCGACCAGGGATCAAACCTGTGTTCCTTGCATTGGAAGTGCAGAGTCTTAACCGCTGGACTTACAGGGAAGTCCTTTTTTTTTTTTTCCTGTGATAGCTAGTTTTATGTGCAAATTTTATACTGTGTGTTGTAGAGTTGAAATGCGAGGCATTGGGGACTGCTTATCTACCTTGAAATCTGGCTTCTACCCTTATAAGCCATATAATCTTGGGTAAATTACCGGTCTTGGTTTTCACATCCTGTACAATAAGGATGGTAAAGTAACTTTTTCATAAGGTTGTTCCTAGAATTAAATAAGATGACTCATCTAAAGCAGTTCGGACAGTGCCTGGCATGAGTAGTTATAAATGTTACCTATCACTGTTGTCTTCAGGTAGATTCCCAGTAGTGTATTTACTTTGGTCCTTGATACATAAATGCCAAATTGCTTTCCATAAGAGAACTCAACTGCATTGACAAAAACTCTCCTGATTTTAACTCAGACTTGCCTAAGGCCAAGGCTCCTGTTCTTTCTACTTGCCACACCCCTCCAGTACCTCCTCAGGCAAAGACTAGGGATCCCTGTATTAACTGTTCTCTTAATACAAAAGAAATGGATTATTGTTCAGGCTTAGTGAAACATTCAGCACAGTGCCTGGCACTTATTAGAATGAATACAATTTATACGGTATAATGAATTCTTACTTCATAGATTTAATAGATGATTCATCGAGATAATACTCATTAAGCTCTTAGCCTAGTTCCTGGCACATGGCAGGCACTCAAAAGAGCCTCTCATCTATCCATCCATCCATCCAACTGCCTGGCTCTCTGTCATCTGTACTTCTCTCTCCTTAGTTCTCCGGTGCCCAACCTGGCAAGGTGTGGCTTCACGGCCCTCGTTGTGGAACGTCCTCACTGACGCAGCAGGACCCCGCTGTGGTGGTGTAGTCAGGGCCCAAGGTCTGTAAAGGAATAATAGGTTTGGGAGCCAGAGGGAGAGGATGGAACACCAGGGCTGGAAGAGTGATGGGATGCAGCCTGCAGTGGAATCAAGTATGTGCTCACTAAGAGGCAGGGCTTACGTGGGTGCCCCAAACGCTGCTGAGACCGTGGGGGGCCAGGAACCAAGAAGCTGACAACTGCAAGTAGCTTGGTCTCTTGAGGACTTTTCCTTGTCCCTTTCACACACACACACACACACACGCACACACACGCGAAGAGAAGAGCTCTGGGAGTGGGTGTTCTGGAAGAGGGAAGCAGCAGCTTGAATGTTTCATTCTGGAATTTGTCACCTTCCTTTCCGCTGGCACACCCTGCTTCCCACACCCCACCCCCAGGGTTGGGTTGCCTCTGCTCCTTCCTCTCCCACCCCGGTTCCCTCTTGAGTCCCCTTAGTCCAGGTGAACCAGGTCAAGAACTTCACAAAGAGCGTCAGAAAAATCAAGGGAAAACAAAAGGGAAATAGCAGCCCCCGACAAAGCACTTGAAAACCCTTAGTCTTTGAATTTGGCAAACACAGATTCCTGACCCAACGGAGCACATGGGGCTTCGTGGCATCCCAGTTCCACCTGAGAGCGAATGTACACCCTGAGAGGCTCTTTTTGCATTTTGATGCTGTGTCCTCTTTTGCTCCATCGTTAAATGTCCCAACTCCTCAGACCATGATGGAGATGAGTCGGGTTGCTGGAGAAGAGAGGGGGAAAAACTCAGCTTTGGCATCAGACAGACCTGGCTTCAGAGCTTGCCCATCATTTGCTGAAATGTGTGAATCTGGAACATTAACCTCCATGAGGCTTGACTTAAATTATGGTGAAAATGAAAAGATAAAAGCATTTGACACAGAGTAGGGACCCAGGTTGAGTCGCTCTTGCTCACCCCGAGCTGAAAGATGTAATAAGTACTCAGCTTCTCTAAGAACATTTCCTTAGCATCAGTAGTTCTTTCAGCTCCCTGCCTCCCCAGACTGTGATCTGGCAAGGAGTAAAGGGTCATTTCTCTCATCAGCATATCAGACACACAGACACATGCAGCAGGGAGGCATAAAAAAGTGTTTTCCTGCACACAGAGGAAGAAGTCTCTCCTTTCCCAGCTTAGAAATTCACCCCTGGGGCAAGCACACAGTAACACACACAGGCAAACACAGAGATGGGAGTGGTCCTAGGTGGATTTAGCTCCTCAGAGGATTCCCTGAGGGCAAGACTTGGCAGAAGTTGGGGGCCCACTGTCTCAGTTCAGGGTGAAGGCACAAAAGGCCTCCCCCTGCAGACCTCATCTAACTGACTGTAGCTTCTGGGGCTGGGAAAAGGTCATGAATCAGTTTCATCAAAAGCCAGTAGACTTCCTTCATTCTGCATGCCAGACTCTAGGTTCATCCAGATTACTACAAATGACCCAATTAATACATATATATGGAATCCAGAAAACTGATACTGAAGAACTTAAGGAACAGACACAGAGAATGGACTTGTGGACATAGTAGGGGAAGGAGAGCGTGGGATGAATTGAGACAGTAGCATTGATAGATACACATTACCATGGTAAAATAGCCAGCTAGCTAGCGGGAAGATGCTGCATAACACAGGGAGTTCAGTCCCATGCTCTGTGATGATGAAGAGAGGTGGGATGGGGGCTGGGTGGGAGGGAAGCTCAGGAAAGAGGAGATATATGTATACTTATAGCTGATTCACATTGTTGTGCAGCAGAAACTAACACATTATAAAGCGATTATACTCCAATAAAAATTTTTTAAAAAAAGACCCTGCAGCTGGTCAGACTTCTTAGCAGAGAGTGCTACAAAATTCTAAAAGACATCTGGTCAGACTATTGCTAATTCACATCTCAAAAAAACAGCCAGCTGAGCAGACAAGGTGACGAACACCTTAATTTTATGACAGGCTTTGGCCAGTGGACAAAACCTCTAAAGCCAGACCCACATGCTTTGAAATGGTTTTCATACCAATATAATGAGAAATAATTCAATTTTAACTTATTTCTGTTGCCTCTGACTTACCATCCATTTCTTCTCTACCAGTCTGTTGTTTCTAGATCTTTTGTGTAACATAATGATAGACCATAAAATTGCTTTACTGCCTCAAAATGAAAAAAAAAGTGCCTTTTCAGGTAGAATTAGAATGCCACAAGGCCCCATGTTCTCTGCTAAGTCAGGAACCTATATTTGCCAAACTCAAAGGCCACAGATTTTCATGTGCTTTTTTTGCAGTTTATTTCCCTTTTGCTTTTCCTTAATTTTTCTGATGTTCCTGGCCTGACTCAGCTGGGCTTAGGGGACCCAAGAGAGAATGGGGTGAAGGGGTAGGGGGTGGGGGGGGCAGTGACAATGCAACATCCCTTTGGCTTACTATTGACCTTTGACACCTTTTTTCCAGGCAGGACATTGCTTAACTTCTCTGGGCCTCATTTTTCACATCTTTAACTTGAGAATAACACGTGTTTATGAAGAACGTATGAGATATTGGCTGAGCAGGTTTCTGAGCTCCAGAAACTGTCATGTGGGGCTTCCTGGGTGGCTCAGTGGTGAGGAATCCACCTGCCAATACAGGAGACATGGGTTCAATCCCTGATCAGGAAAGATCCTACATGCCACGGAGCAATTAAGCCTGTAATTGACCTTGTAATCTACAGCAGCCACTACCCAGGAGAGGCAACTACTGAGCCCACATGCTACAACTACTGAAGCCCACATGTCCTAGAGCCCGTGCTCAGCAACAGGAGAGGCCACCTCGATGAG